GAGATCCCCAAAGTGTTGGCCGAGGCTTTGCAAGACTGCACTGAGTTGGACTTCTCCCTCTATCTAATCTTGCTTCCTCTATTTCCTTCACAGATACTGATCCCTAATAAACATCTTGCACCCCAAATTCCATCTCAGCATCTGTTCCAGGAAACCCCATCTGTGATAATTGGCTATGATGCACTGGGAGGGCAGGATGGGTGGGGTGGGGCGGGGCATGTTTATCACAAACAAAGGAAATGAAGCACAGAAAGGGTAGAGGGAGAATTTGAAATAGCACTACTGTATAACCTCGGACAGCTCCTAGTCTAACAATGCTTGGGTAACTCTCAGATACTGCACCTATGGCAGGTGGAAAGCTGTTGTTACTTCCCCAACTTAGACCAAAATCTTGTAGGGGAAGCAACATCTTCTATTCTTCCTCTCAATTCTAGAGATGGCTTGATTTGATGATCTCACCTTGAGGTACCAAAGGCTGGCTTCTCAAAAAATGTAAATACCTGCTAGGTATCATACAAAAATTCCAGCTAATGTCATTACTAGCCAAATTATCTAAATGTTAGTCATGGTTCTATTTTTCAACTACTTTTTAATGTGCCATGAAAGAGAAAATGGCATTTTCTAGAACTAAATGTCTTCTCATTTCATTTGGAAAGATGGGTTTGAAGGCTGATATTTAGCCTGGTGGAGGTCAGAGATGATTTCTTTAGTGACGGAAGCCACTGCAAATCCTACCAATAAAAGGTAATCTTTGAAAATGAAAATCCATCATTTATCAACCCAACCTCCCACCCCAACACATACACTTAAAACCCTTAACTAACATCCCATTTCTCCTACAATAAAGATCCCAGTCCTACAAGTTCTCATCCACAGAATCTGGCCCCTAACTCAGTCTCCAGCCTCACTTCATTCCCCTCTCCTCTATGGTCTTTCTCCTATAGCCACATTGGACTTCTTATGGTTCCTCAAATAAACCATGGTACTTCCTGCCATAGGATCTCACATGTACTGTCCCCTCTGACTACAACTCTCCCACTCACACCTAGCTAAGTACCGCTAATCTTCAGATTCCAGCTCAACCACCATCACTTCTTCAGGGAGACCTTCCCTGACCCCATACTCCACATCTAAGACAGGTTTCTCAGTGATCAGATCTCACAGAACAGCACTCCTTTCCTTCAGGTCTTTTATCTCATTGTCGCATTTAGAATTATACCCTCACACAATTACTTGACTCATTCCTTCTCCCCACTTAGACCACAGGCTTCAGGAAGACAGGAATAGTGTCTGGTTTTTCTCTCCATCCTATTTCTAGTTCCTAGCACAGTTCCTGACAGATAGTAAGCACCTAATTTGTTGAATAAATGGATAAATGAATGAGTGAATGAACGAAGAAAAGAAATTTCTGACTCTTTTTGTTTGTGGAGCTTGAAGTTTCATGGGGTTAAAACGTAGAAATGTTGAGCTAAAAACCCAACGTGGTTGGGCGAAAGATATATTTTGGTGGGAACTGTTACAGAGATTTTCTCCCTAATCCCTGGCAAGGAGGAAGGGTGGGGGTGAGGAGGCAGCATCTAGCACCATCAGGAGTCCCAGCATACCTGCCGACCTCATCACAGAGAATGACAATCCCCAAGATCAGGCCTGAGAGTAAATGAAAATTATTCACTTCATCGTCATGAGGAAATGCTGTGGACTTAGAGTTGGAGTATATTCTTGAATTGGGTATTTTTCTCCAGGACAAGTTTATTAGCTGGAATCCTTTTTTAAGGACCATTCTATTTAACCTTTGAAAATGAAGCATCTGTCTTTTAATGGAAAAGCTCCTTCTCATTGTAAAGATAGCTCAGAATGTTCTTGGCTTTTTTGGTCTCCAGAAAAGGAAAGTCAGATATCTCCCTGTGTCCTCACTGTATCTTGAACATCTGTGTCAACAAAATAGGCCATATTTTTTTAATAGCTAACTTTTTTTTTTAGAATTACTTATTACGAAAAGTACCAGCCCATCCTGAGAAACATTAGGTAGGGCAGTCTACACAGATGTATCTACCCCTAAAGGAGTCATGGGAGGCTTAGGAAGCCAGAGATGGAAAGGCTCCAGAAAGCCAATCTCAAAACCACTATGTTCAGAAAAGAGGCCAAGTTTACCATGCATTGAAAAGTTCTATTCCACAGAAAACATCCAAAAGAAGGGTAATAAGCTAATCAATTTATTAATCTGATATTCTTATTTGGCATAAGCCCCTGCTGTGTCACAGTGAAGAGAGGTCCCCTTCTTAAGCATACTATAACTCAACAAAAGAAGTAAGATCTAGAAGAACTAAGATGTTGGTAAACAGGCCAACAGCAAGGGTGTCAGCAAGTTCAGACACCCCATAGGCAATAGCACTAATGTCCACTGAGCGTTTACTCTATGCCAAGTGCTCTAAATGTATATTCTCATTAAATCTTCACAAGCTAGGAGATGGATATGATTACCCTCTCCTTAGAAAAGCTGAGTAACATACCCAAGGTTGTAAACTTCAAAAGCAGTTTCAAGCTTCGTTCTATCTGATTCCAAAGTCCATGCTTCTAGGCTCCAAGTCCCTGAGGCTTCCAGAATTCAGGAAGGCAAGGCTTGATGAGGGACAGGGACAGGGTTCTGAGCTAGGCCTTAGACGGGCACAACTCTGAGATAAGACAGAGAAGGAGAAGTGTCAGTGCATGGAACTGTGGTGGAGTGAGGGTGTAGAGAAAAGACAGAGAAGAAAGGGAAAAGAGAACAGAGCAAGGCCAGTTGCTTGGATACAGCCATCTTGTGGGGAGGGATGAGTGAAGACACCTGCCTCGTAGGCCATAACATCTTGCCCCACCCTTCTCCTTTCCAATAAAATATTATATTCCTACACAGAAAGACTTGAAGAAGGAACTGGAAGAAGTGGTGAGTGGAAGAGGAATCTTGTCTTCCCTTTACTCTTTCTGCCTCTCTGCTCTCTCTGAGTGCATTATCCCAAGCACTCCACCCAGCCAGCCCAAAGTCCATGCCACAAACTTCTCGAGTCCTACATCCCAAGAAGGGTAGCATCTTCCCGTGAGCTCATCAGATAAAGCCTGGCTGGTTCCAAATAGAACTGGAGCACCACTCCCCTACTGACTATGGGCTCTCAACCAGAGGGGTTGAAGGCGTGTGGGGTAGGCTGTGGTTACTCTCCCCAGTGAACAGTCAGCCTTCCAAGGAAAGTCGCTCCAGTTCGGTGGCACGAGTAGAGTTTTGTGCTTAAGCCTTACTACCACTAGGCACACATTGTCTTACACAGACATACGTTCACTATCCAGCCATTTGTTCATTCAGTCATTCAATAGGGAATTATTGAACGGCAATTTCAAGCTGAAGACTATGCCTGGTGTTGGGGGAGACAAGGTCAAACACTATGTGGCCCCTAACCTCAGGAGCTGTATACTTTGTAATTATTGGTGGTGCCCTTCCTCATGGACATGGTCAGGCAGTAGTAACTATAATGAACATTAGGATAAAGAGAAGCTCAGCAGGCTCTGTGGTACTCCAACTGCTCACACTGCAAGTGGCTTGCCTAGTTCATTTCTGTACCTCCAATGCCCATCACTATGCCTGACACACAGTTCATTAACTTTTAGTGAATTAAATGAAGATCTTACTGAGCCTGATTCCCAGCTCTTTCTGTGGCTTCTATCCATTGCTTTAAGCCTGGCATCCTAAGCCTTATCTAAGGATACATGGCGTTCTTCAAATAGATCACAGTATGTTTGAGTTGGGAGAAACTGGACAGATTTGTCTGTATCACCTCCATTCCCTCCTAGACATCATGTTCCTGTAGTTGAGGTCCTTCATGAACCACTTGGAACTCCATGCTTTCCTAAGTCCTCCTGATCCCGGATACTCTCCTAAGAATATGCAAAGTTTGTCAATGTCCCAATAAAAACTCGGGAATCCAGACCTTGATACAGAACTGTGACAGCTTCAGCTGGCTGATGGCAGGGATCCACCTCCTCCTTTGAAATAATGGGCTGTGGAAAGAGAAATCTTGGCTTCTGATTGGGGTCTTCCAACACCACTAGGGTCTCCTGTGGGGTCTGGGGCTGCAGGGAGGCAGAGTCATTTGGGGAAAGGTGAGAAATGAGGTGGAGAGGTCCTCTGAGGAGGTTGAGCCATGACTCTGCATTTGAAGGATAGTGATCCTTGAGGTATAGGCATGTGAGCTGACAGGAAAAGGAAGGGGTAACTAGGAGGCTTGAGGCAACTGTCCCCTCAAGCAAGGCAGGCTAAGTAAGGTCCAGAAAGAGCCTAGCCAGGGTCCCAACTCTTCAGCCAGAAAGCACCTCAGAATCAATTCAGAGCGGTCTTGGGACATGCGCAAAGCCCTTCAGTTGAGTGGTAGCAGAATGGGGTTAGAATCAGGTCTCCTGATTTCCACCCTGGAGTTTTTTTTTCTCCTCACCCTGCTGTCTCCTAGATATGGATCTCATGTCAGAGTTCTTGGCCTGTCACATCCTAGAAATCTCCTTCACAGAGGACTCCTTCTCAGGCAGAGCAAGGCTTTTCTCATTCTGATGGGTGGCCTTTTTAACCCTCCAATGCCAACTGTCTCCTTGTCTCTCTCCATCTCCTTCCTCAGAAAGATCTCATGGGGTCTTCAGTGGCCACGTGATGGGCAGCCTGGGTCCCTGCCCAGCAGCAAACCTAGGGACAGTGGGCATATATCTTGGCATCTAGGCACGCTGACCCTTTTCTCCAGAGAGGTCAGTGTGTGGGGAGAAGGGAGTGGAATTCAGTGACTTCTAGCGCCTTAAGAATTCCTGCTCTCCCCCTCAGTCTGACCCTCACTCTGCGGGCCTGGGCCACAACAATGCCCACAGGCAGGGCAGTGAGAAAGGGAGGGAGACCTGGGTTTGCCCGTTTTCTTGGCCAGGCACCAGGAGCAAGAGCCCGGCCCACCTCTTCCCCGCGCCGGCCATCTCCACTTGCTCCTCTCCCCCTCTCCCCCGCCTGTCCCTCCGGGCGGCTCAGGCGCCACCACTACTGTCCCCAACCCGCCCCGCCAGCCCGGGCAAAGGGCAGCGTGACTCACAGCGCTGCCACCAGCCCACCGCTTGCCCGCGGCGTATAAAGGCTGCCCGGTGGGAGGCGGCGAGCCCTGCCCGGCCCGAGGTGCGCAGAGCATGGCCAGGGGCGCGGAGCGAGGCCGCGGGGGCTCCGGCTGGGGGCTGCGGGGCGCGCTGGCGGCGGTGGCGCTGCTGTCAGCGCTCAATGCTGCGGGCACCGTGTTCGCGCTGTGTCAGTGGCGCGGGCTGAGCGCGGCCGTGCGGGCGCTGGAGGCTCAGCGCGGCCGGGAGCAGCGCGAGGACAGTGCGGTGCGCTCCTTCCTGGCTGAGTTGAGTCGCACGCGGCGCAGGGCGCCCGCGCCACCCCCGGACCCCGCCAGCGCCGCGCGCAACAAGCGCAGCCACAGCGGGGAGCCCGCGCCACACATCCGCGCCGAGAGCCACGACATGCTGATGATGATGACCTACTCCATGGTGCCGGTAGGCGGGGGCTCGGCTCCGCGTGGCGCCTCCGCCAGGGTGGGCGGTGGGCAGTGTGGGGAGAGAGGCCCCGACGCCCTGAGCTCGCTCCCCTGGCTAGACGGCGAAGTGCTGCGAGAGAGGGCCCTGGGTGTGAGCCCGGCTGGGGAGGTCACCCCGGCAGGCAACTTAACCCTTCCGTTTTCTCCTCTGTTAAATGGGGGAGGGCGTGAAGGGCTGTCTTCCACCTCTGACATCTTTGGGTCTGCAGGTAAACAAGGGGTGCAGGCAGTGTTTAAGAGAGACTGCTTTCCTTCCTAACTCTGGATTAAAGTTTTCACCATCTGAGGTGAAGGGAGCCACAGAGGCCCTGGGCTTTGCCTGTGAGACTCGCTGGAGCCCCCCTGATAGCACAGGAAAGACATTTCTGGGAGCACAGACATCTTCAATAAAAAGGTCTTTACCTGGCTTCAGCTAGTGGTCTGGCTTTTCACCTGGCCTCGGACCAGCCTCATGAGATAGGTTGAAGGGAAAACAACCAGCCCTAATTTTACCAGTCACCTGGAACCTTGGTGCTGAGAAAGTTGCTCTTGGGTCTAAAGCGGTTCCAAATGGGAGACATCAAAATGGAGAAATTTTCTTAAAATCCTCTGTGAAAGCTGAGATTCTCATGTGGGCTCCAGCAGGTCTATAGAACTCCAGAAATTACCAGTGTGCATTTAGGGGCCGTGCATCTGGGTAGAGTCCATGGCTTTTCATTAGATTTTCATTAGATTTGCACTCCCCCTAAAAGGTTTAAGAAACTCTGCTCTTAATGTCTTTAAAGCAAAACCTCAAAAATCTTTTTTTTTTCCAGTTTGAAGTTTCTTTGCTTTTGCTGATTTTTAACTCAATAATTATCTAACGATTACATTTAGATCACATGGCCTTTCCCAATTCTGTTTCATTATCCATTACGACTGCACTGGTCTTATTTCATTTTACAACTACAAAGATTTCAATTCTGGCACCCCAAGTCAAGTGTGAGCCATACTTGGGAATCCTAGGGATTTGAAGATAAACTCATTTAAAGCTTCTGCATCAGAAAAGCTTTTAAGTATCTCATATGAGTTGAAATGCTTTTACAACTACATGATGGAAGTACTAGATACTGCAAATACATCTTTTGAGAGAGATCAAATTTTCCATTAGTGGCTTCATTTTTTTTTTCTCATCCGTGTTATAATTTTAAAAAAATTTAAAATTAGACGTCTGATATTTATTTTTTTCTTATTTGACAGAGAGAGACACAGTGAGAGAGGGAACACAAGCAAGGGGGAACAGGAGAGGGAAAAACAGGCTCCCCACCAAGCAGGGAGCCCGATGCAGGGCTTGATCCCAGGACCCCCGGATCATGACCTGAGGTGAAGGCAGACGCTTAACGACTGAGCCACCCAGGTGCCCCCAAGCAAAAAAAATTTTTAAAAGACCTCTGTAAAGTGAAGAAATCTCCTTTCAGGGCATTAACTCTTTCTCTTGACTCTCTACCATGCATTTTGAGGATTTTTTGAAACCCTTCAAGAAGGATGCATCTGAGCATCAACATTTTATATTTTTAATCCTGCTTTTAAGGTAGAAGCTTGTGTATTAAAGCTTATTCAGTCACTAACCCAAGAGAACAGAGATCCATTTCTGACTCAATCTGAGAGCTAGATTTAACTATCACCACCTGCTCTGTTAGAGGTCGGAGAGCAGAAATGTCACATTTGTTGGGCTGAGAGGCATTCATAGGTTATCACCAGCTCATCCCCCATTGTAATGGGTATGCTTTGAGGGAATTTCCATGCCGGTGGTTGGGAGAGAGTAGCTGTCTTCTTGCTGGTTGTTCTCAAGCAGTAGGGGAGGGGGTCACCTGGAAACACACTGAAACACAGATTCCACGGTCCCACCCTCGAATTTATAAAATGATCATCTCCAGAATTGTCTTCCTTAGTAAGTATGTGATTCCCCATTCTCCTACCTTCCCAGCCCCTCGGTGGGTTAGATACAGGTGATTCCAGGTGCCACTCTGAGAAAGCTCTAGATCACTACTTCTCTACTGTAATAAGCAGGTGAATACCTTGACAATCTTGTTCAAATGCAGATTCTGACTCAGAAGATCTAATTTCCAGCTTGAGATTCTGCATTTCTCATAAGCTCCCACTGACACCAATGTTGCTGTTTTGAGGACCTCACTTTGAACAGCATGGTTCAAGAGTGATGGTTGCACACTGAAATCACATAGGGAGCTTTCAAAATGACTGATACCTAGATCCCACTACCAGAAATTCTGAGTTAACTGTTAGAGGTGCAGTCTGGCATGCCTGGACATTGACAAGCCTTCCTGCTGACAGTGAACAACATTGAGCATCTTGCTCCCACCACGTCTCTTTGAGGCCTCTGTCTGCTTCAAGCAGAGGTACCCATTTTATTGCTGAAAGCCTTTTACTTTATTCTAGTATCATTCATCTTGGCACATTTTTCTCATTTTTGCTCCCTGTTTTTTTCCTCAAAATACAGAATTATTCACATGAGGAAACAATGTTTTAAAGGGTACTTTCAGGCCTGCCTAGGTGGCTAATTCAGCTAAGCATCTGCCTTTGGCTCCGCTCATGATCCCAGGGTCCTGGGATCAAGTCCTATGTCAGGCTCCCCACTCAACAGGGAGTCTGCTTCTCCCTCTTCTTCTCCCTCTGCCACTGCTTGTGTGCACTCTCTCTCTCAAATAAATAAATAAAATCTTTAAATAAATACATACAGAATCTTAAAAAAAGAAAAAGAAAAAGAAAGCTCTTTCATGGGCACCTCTACTAGAAAAGTTGCTTAGAGAGCTGTTTAGTATACAGTGTGGAAACCAGTGTGCACACTCCTTATGGCTGAAGTCACACCTTCCCCAGCCCTGTTATACAGCACCAGTAGGTTCTGAATGAGGATGAAATCAGAGGTCCCCTCACTGTGGTTCCATGTCTTTAAAGACAGAGAAACCAAGAAATAAGCTAATATCAGCAGACTAATGTCAGCATTTAAAAAAGTCTTCCAAAAGGCTCATTTATCTAAGATGAGCTTCCTAAAGCTATCTGACACTCCAGAATTCTGTGCTTTTGGCTGAAAGTATATCAACTCAGCATGGTGATTTCGGTTAGCACATTCTGCCCAGAAACTGGTTGTTAGAAGGGCAACATAACTAGTCATTACTTAGAACAGTTTTGTACAACCAAACACATTAAACCCTTCAGAGTAAGTGGGTACTTTGGAGAAAAGTAATAAGGGTCCTGGGTACCACTGAGCTAGACCAATGATGGGAAGCCATCTGCCAGGAGCTCCTGCAGGTGAGGGGGCTCCCGTCTAGTCCCCATCCCACCTCACACCCCTCGCATCTCACTTCTCCCATCAGCTGCTCTCTCATCCCATTTTCCAGGTCTTATACTTATTGATGTTCTAGAAGCCTCATCATCCTGTCCAACATCTAGGGTCAAGTCCCCAGGAGGAAAAAGATTTTACTTCTCACAATGTGTGTCATAACAAGCTCTAAATGGGTTGAAGATTTATGTTTTTAAAAAATGAAACCCTGAAACTACTGGAGGAAATATGGGTAAATGTGTTTTTAATGTTGGAATGAGGCAAATCTTTCTTTCCAACAAATCAAAAGCCAGAAGCAAAGAGTGAATAAATTTAACTACAGCTTAAAAAGCACACACAAGAACAACAAAACATATGGATGGCAAACAACAACAAAACAAATATACACCTCACAAACATAGGCAAAAGATAAAGGACAAACTGGGAAAAAAATATGTGCACCTCATATCATAGACACAGGGCTAATCATATATATATACATGGGGTGGGGAGATATATATATATGTGTGTGTGTGTATGTGTGTATATATATATGTATCATTTCTATAAGTTTATAAGAAAAAAACAAGAATTTAATAAGAAAATCAGCAGAAATAGGGATCCAATAGGAAAATGGAGCATAGTTCTCAGTAAAAGAAATACAAATGTCTGTAGGTAAACATGTGAGAAAAGATGTCTTGGTTTTAAAATGCAAATTGCACCTTGTCCTGAAACATAATTTTTACCTGTCTAACAAAACTACAAAAGTTTAACCACACATTCTCCTGGGGAAGTGGAAGGGAAATAGACACGCTTTTACATTGCTATCTGGACCACAAAATGGTACAACCCATGGGCAAGGCAATTTGGCAGTACCTAAAAATATTACAAATACATTTACCCTGTGACCCAGCAGTCTCAATTGTGGGAATCTATCCTGCATGACAGACTTTATCACCTATGAAATGACATATGCATATATTCACTGTAGAATATTGGTAGAAGCCAAAGACTATTCACAACCTGTGCCCGTCCATACAGAATTATTTCATTTTATTATTATTTTTTTAATCTTTTTTTTTTAGACTTTATTTATTTATTTGACAGACAGAGATTACAAGTAGGCAGAGAGGCAGGCAGAGAGAGAGAGGAGGAAGCAGGCTCCCTGCTGAGCAGAGAGCCCAATGTGGGGCTTGATCCCAGGACCCTGGAATCATGACCCAAGCTGAAGGCAGAGGTTTTAACCCACTGGAGCCACCCAGGCGCCCCCGGAATTATTTTAATAAGCCAACCTACGCACTCACTGGGAGAGCTAGCTGTAAATGAGAACGAGGAAATTCTCTGTGTCCTGTTACTGGAATAATCCTTAGGATATATTCTAAGGGAAGAAAGCAAGACAGAAAAAATATGTATATTGTATTACCTCATGTAAGGAAGAAGTGGAAAAATAAGTGAAGATATTAACAAAAGTGCTTTACTTAGGGTGGGTAGGCATAAGATGGGAATGAGCCTCTCACTGTGTAGCTTTGTGTATTATGTTGACTTTGGAACCATGTGATTGTGTTACTCTAATTGTGAGTGAAAAGGCCATAATCACAAAGTTACATGGGCGCTGCCTCTGAACTGGGGGGTAGTAAGGCATGGTGGACACTCTGCCAGCCTGA